TCTCCCAAGGAAGATGGACGTTAGGTTGTTTTTCCTTAAGCTTTAACCCCTAAGGGGAAGAGTCAGACCCTGTGTGAATACCCCTGGCCCTCCAGTGCAGTCTCATACCCCTTAAAGGGTAGAGGCATTTTTGAAATCTCATCAGGTATCAATTACTGAAAATTACTTTCAGATCCAATGGCATATTTGATCTTTCTCTGAAAGCTTTGAGTTATTGTCCTCTGGGGCCCCAACTTTTGTATCTTAAGAGCTGTTTTGATTTTGGGGAATAAATGTAGCCACTAGAAGGTGTTAACATTTAGAACCACAAAATCCAGAAGAAGCAGTATTGGCAGAACTATTTCTTAGGGGAAAGCAAATCAAAGTGAAATAGTTTAAGTTAGAGCTATTTTCCCAAAAGTTGCCTTCCCATGGAAATAAAGTTAATGATGAATTGTGCTGGTCTGCCTGAGGGCTGAGAGCTCTGGAATTATTGACATTACTGTAATACTGACCTCAATTGAACTGAGCCGTAAATTCTGAGAAACAGGTTTTCAAACAGGTTTATAGGCCAGAGAAAGTCTGCAACACCCGAGGGCTTGGTTTCCCTTGCCAAGCAATCAGTCAAAGCTATTACTGTCATTGTGCCTTTTCCTAGTGGCTAAAACACCGAGCCCAAGCCATTGCTAATGAGTATTAGGTGCAGCCTCCTCGGTTTTCTTCTGTGAGGAAGGAAATGTGGTTGGAAGTAATATCCATGAGAAAGGTGGTTTCATGCCCCAGAAGCTAAAATGAATTTTAAAGCACTGGGGTTGCATCTTAACCAAAATTAAAATATGCTTATAGGGGCCTAATAAATATTTATTAAGACTGCCAGACAATGTTGAAAATACACCCACATACTTTTAATATATAAATATAGTACTTGCCTCCCAGAAAGACAGACTCTAGTCGGGGAGATAAATAAACCCATCAGAAATGCTTAATAACAAGTCAAGAGTTAATTTAAGTAGAGCACCAGGGCCTGAGGTTCAAGGCTAATTTCCCAAAGCTTATTGGCTCTGTAATGGATTAAAGCTCAGAACCTTTGGTTATTCTTTGAAGCCCATTATCATGAAAATGAGAAAATAGCATTTGTATCCAGAAAGTAATTTTGAATCTTTCCAAAATGTGAGGGCAGTGTTTCTAGGTTGCAAACGTCCTTCGCACCAGTCCACTGGGATGTGTGGTAGCAATGAAGCCCTTGTGTCTCCCCCAAACTCCCTGCAGGCCCCCAAGAGTAGGATCACTTGCAGTCCAGTCTGGGATCTTCACTTCTACTCACCCCCACGTGGCTCCAGTTCACACCCAAGAACTACTTTAGAGAGAGAAATTGGCCCAGTGTTTATTGGACATGGCCCCGAAAGCAATGGGCTCCTTTCATCAAGTTAACCTATACATTAATTTAAGAAAGGGAAGAATGTAAATGTACCCAGAAATACTATGCGCATCTATGTCTATAGCCTACAAATAAGAAGCTTGCAAGTTTTTATTTATTTACCCACAACTGGTTACAGCCTGGCATTAATGTTCCCTAATTATGTGCAATATTCCATTAATAGACTCTAGAAATATAGAAGTTGTTTGCTAAAGATCTGGTCACTTCTGTTTCTTGGGGTTATTTAAGGTGTCTAGCTGTACGAAGAAAGTGATAACATAATGGCTATTAGTGCAAATATAGCTATAATTAGAATAGCCTGTCTGGTGCCTCCTTTTTCTGTTTTTCTAGCTATAAGTAGCACAGCAGAAGTCCCCGCTACATTTCAGAGGTCCCAGGAAGTTGTTTATATTGTAAGAGAAAAAGAATGAAGGAGGCTTTCTTAAGTTTCGGGGTAGATGAAACACTCATTGCTAGTTTTCTGCTGAACTGTTATAAACTTCTCTGTATTTACCTTCTATCCAAGAGTACCTCAACCCCAGGGAGGAGCACCTTAACTGCTAGTCACCTGGGCACTCTTCTCTTATAGTTTTTGCATTCAGAAAATCTAGAAGCCCACCCAATGCTGAATCTGAAGGAATACATTTCAATTCATTCACCACATTTTATGCCTATTTTTCTAAGTGATGAGTTCCCAGTAAAACATTAAAATCACTTTGGAAAATTCTCTCAGTTCCTTGTTACCTGGCATTTCTTTTGAATAATGACGTGCAGCCCTTCAGGAACAGCCCCATAAAAGCTTTGAATCATGAGTGAAATTACAATGAACCCTGCGGGGAGGAGGCGCAGTGAAGGGTGTATTAAATCACTTTATCCCATAAAAGGGCAAGGAGGCACATTTTAACTTCCTCTTTCCTGAATTTTCTTTGGCTGGAACTAGATTTTTTTGGAAAGTTTTAGTTTAGGAAGAGATTGTTTTAAAAATTATGAGTAAATTAAAAAGGGAATGTTCTAATGCCGTGAGCCTTCCCTACAAGTTAAGGGTGCCTCTATTGAAAACTTCTTTTTCTCTGTGTGTGTGTGTGTGTGTGTGTGTGTGTGTGTGTGTGTGTTTTAGGGAAGGGTCTACAGGGTGTTCAGGGTCTCACTACTAGATTGGACGCGTAGTGATCCACCTGTTTACAGCCTCCCAAGAGCTGGGATTACAGGCACACGCCACCATGACCAGTCTCAATTGCTGGCTCAGCGTGCCCTGGGGGCAGGGCCTGCTCAGCAGGCTTGAAAACTTCTTTGGTCTTTTTTTTTTTTTTTTTTTAATAAAATGCTACATACCACACCAAATACAATGTTTAATTGTGTTACAGTGCCTAGACTAAATGATTAAAGTAAATGAAAGAGAATGAGAGCATTTTCACTCCTCCCCTCACCCAGGAGTTAAAAATTTGAACATCAAAGTATGCATATTGGTTCCTAAATGTTCAAATTGATCACTTTCTGGTTTCTGTGGAAATTTTTGTGTTTTTTTTAAAGATTTACCTCCTTAAAATTTTCTGAATAATGATTGAAAGCACCCTGGGCAAAGGGGAATAAAAGTTTGGGAAAGAATGTTGAGCTCCAAGAAAATGAATGACAGGAAATACTGACCAGGGGTTATGGTAGGGTAAGTTCTGTCATTACAGCAGAAAATTCTTGAAGCCATTAATAATTCCCTAAAGTTATGATAGCCACTGATTTTAAATAACGTCATTCTGTGCTTGAACTCTACCTTTAGGAGGTCTTAGAGAGAGGAAAACCCAGTTACTTCAAGAGACCTAGGATCCCATTCATATAAAACACCTAATATCAAGGAAACCATCGTTTTACACTTATACATTTATATTTTTCATTTATATGGAATACTGAGATTATTTTGTTACCTTATCAAATCCATTTTAAAATTTATGAAGTTGAGCAGAGGTAGTTATCCTTAACTTTTTCTTAATCACTGAACATAGAAACACCATCTAACATTATAAGTTGTAGTTTTTAATATACAAATCATTCACTATATTACAGAAGATTGAAGAGAAAAGATCACAGTGATCATGTTTTATACAAGATTATGATTTCTTGATATCCATGTGAGGCTTTTATAGAACAACTTCCATCTCTCTTATTCCTTAAATTTAACCTGAGGGGCCAGGGAGATGGCTCAGTGGAATAAGTGCTTCCCTAGCAAGCGCAAGGGCATGAGTTCAATCCCCAGTTATGGAAAAAAAAAATTAACCTGAATAGACTGGATGTTTTTATTGTTGAGTAATTAATTTGACAATGTTTTTAGCTCCTAACAGGTGTTACTTTTTAGGTATTGAGGTCACAGCAGTGAATGAATCCAGTATAAAAGAAGTAAGAGGCCAGTGACAGAGCTCAGCAGCACAGAACCTACCTGGCAAGAACAAAGCCTTGAGCTTGATTCCCAGTAACGAAAACAAGGGGAAAAAAAGAAAGAAAGAAAAAATAAGAAGAAAAACACGTGTAAGGCCAGTGAGATAGCTCAGTGGACTAAGTACCTGCTTTGGCAAGTGCAGGCCCCAGCGTTTAATCCCAGGTCCCTCATGCCGCACTGGCCCCGCCCCCAGGGTGTGTTGAGCAGGTGATCAAGTCTGGGAGTGGTGATGCACACCTGTAATCCCAGCGCTGGAAAAGCTGAAAACAGGAGGATCACTATGAGAGAAACAAAGCTGGAAATGGCATCAGAACATGGGGTGAGGTAGGGTCAGGGAAAGGACAGGGATAGGGAGGGAGGTGGACACCTGGAGGGAGAGCAAGGGAGACCTGAGGAAGGCAGCCAAAGGGAGGGAAGGGAGCAAGGTGCCAGCTTGCAGGGAAGCTCGAGACTGGGGAAGAGGTGCCCATGACAAAGTGGAGGAACAGGAAATGCAGAGGCAGCTTTTGTGCAATGCGGGCTGCAAAAGTTAGCAACACTTATGGAGGCTTTTTTGAGAATTACTCATTTAACAGGAAAATTGATTATAATCTGCAAAAAGCTAGAGAGACATTGGAGAGCATTTCATAATAGTATTGTGAAATCCAACATTTTTTTGGTACTCCTATAACATTTTACCAGTACATACTGAGGTCTGAACCCAGGGCTTCTGCACTCAGCTCCATTCCTAGCACCTTCTGATTTTGAGACATTAACTCAACAAACTGGCCAGACTAGACTCAAACTTGTGAGCTTCCTGCCTCAGCCTCCCAAAGTCCCAGAATTATAGAAGTGTGCCACCATGCCAGGCTCTTGGGACCTTGCTTTCTCTCATTACTATGTCTACTAGATCTATTCATAATATAAACAAAAATATAAGTTTAAATTCATTTTCAAATTATCAAAATGTATTGACTACGTGAACAGTCTTTAATTTTATATAAAATATGAAGCAAAAATGATAAGTATACTGAAATGAGACTTTAGAGACATGATTATAAATAATGAGACTAATTCAATGGAAACTTCGTAAGAATTACTTTTTATTTTGCATAATTAAATTTGAAAGATTTATAACGTTTATGTATTACCTCAAATATGTGGATTTACATAAATTTACTTTTTTTCCCTCTCTTACAGGAAAATATATGTCCAAGAGTAAGTACTTCTTTTCTTTTTTTTTTTTTTATAAATTTTTCTTATTTATTTATTTATTTATTTATGTGTGTGTGTGGTCAGCTCAGCCCACCAGGGGGCGGGGCTGGCTGGCATGTGGTGCTGGGGATTGTGGTCCCTGTGCTTTGCTGAGCTTGTTCTAAGTAGGTGCTTTAGACCACTGAGCCATCTCACCAGCCCAAGTACTTCTTTTCATTGACCTTTTGTAACTGTATATAATTGTGAATGCAATTTGGTAGTTTTATACATGGGTTAATTACATATTGATTACATCAGAGATATTGCAGAGAGTGGTTATGCTAAATGCTTTTTTAAAATAATGAAAATCAAATATAAAAATCCTGGAAGAAAAGTTACTGGCATACCTGTCCAAATCAGAATTTTTAGTTTTATATAATCAAATGTATTTCCTTTAATAAATATGTATATGTACTTAGCCCATTCTTCATAATCTAATTTCATATTGCTTTATCGCCAATTTGTCTGAAATGTTCTTATATATTAAATTATCACATATACCTTACTACTCATTATATTATTTTTTCATTTTTATTCATTTATTTTATTTATTATTTTTTAATGCATTTAGTACAAAGTCTCACTATGTAGATTAGACTCATAGTGATTCTCCTGTTTTCAGCCTCCCAAGCGCTGGGATTATAGGTGCGTGCCACTATGCCCAGTCTCAATTGCCATCTCTCTGCCTAAGCAGGCACTTTAGTCTGCTGAGTTATCTGGCTGGCCCCTCTCACCCTGAGCAAAGGAAATTCCCTGTTAGAAGGGAATAAAAGTTTGGGAAAGAATGTTGAGCTCAAAGGAAATTAATGGCAGGAAATACTGACCGGGGTAATGATAGGGCAAGTTCTGTCATTATAGCAGAAAATCATTTAAGCCATTAATAATTTTTCATTTTTTAAAGAGATTAAAAAGTAGTAAAGAAAACATTAGAAACTATACAGAATTTCACTAAACAAAATAACATATGGAATTCAACAATGTTTGTTATATTGCGTAATGTTGTCCTCAAATTAGTTCTTCAGATCTCCAAATGTAAGCATGCAAAATTGGTTTTAAGAAACTTATAAACAATTAAAAAGAAGAAAAAAAACCTAAGCATTAGCTGCCCCCTTCAATAGAACAGCAGAAATCAGCAGTACAGCTATCCAAGCTATCTTACATGTATACATAGATATATCTTTTTCTCATTCTTTCTTTTTCTTTCTTTCTCTTTCCTTCTTTTCCTCATCCCAGTTGTTCCTTCATTTTGAACAGATTCTTCCATTTTCACAGTATCTATTGTGCCTTTCAGACTGTATTTATTCTCTCAGGTTCTTACACAAGCAAGAAAATATGATGTTTGCACATGTGGGTCTGATTTATTTCACTTACAAGTATGGTCTCTAACTGCATCCATTCACCTATAAAAGCCTTGAGTTTATCTTTTTATAGCTGAGTAATACTCCATTGTACATAAGTACCACATGTTTCTCATTCATTCCTCAGCTGATGGGCATTTGGGTTGCTTCCAAGATTTAGCCATGGCAAATTGAGCTGCTATAAACATGTGTGCATATATATTGCTGTATTTCATTCTTTTGGAAAAATACCCAGGAGGTGGACAGTTGAATGGGACCTCCAGTCCTAGCTTTTTGAGGAATCTCCACACTGATTTCCATAGTGGTTGTACCAATCTACACTCCCACCAACAGTGGAGAAGAGTTCCTTTTTCCCCACACCCCCTCCAGCATTTGTTATTGGTTGACTTCTTGATGATAGCCCTTCTCTGTGGGAATCTCAGTGTTGTTTTAATTTGCATTTCTTGAATGACCAATTATGTCGCACAGTTTTTCATACATTTATTTGCCAGTTGTACTTCTTCATTCAAGAAGGGTATATTTATCTCAGATACCTTACTACACATTTTAGAAGAGTTCTAATTCATAATTTAACTAAGTCACAAAAGCTGCTAATTATACATATCTTCAGCAATTTTTGTGTGTCCAGAGCAATTCTTCCTAAAGCCTACCTCAGTCTTTAAAAACATCTCAGGCTGGGCTTGGGAGATAACTTAGCAGATAACAAGCACCTGCCTGGCAAACACAAGGACTGGAGTTTGATCCCTAGAACCGCGTGCTGTGCCAGCCACTGAAACCAGGCATGGTGGCACATGCTTGTAATTCCAGTGCTGGGGAGACTGAGACAGGAGGATCACTATGAGTCTGGTAGCAAGACCCTGTAACAAAAACAAACATAAATAAATAAATAAATTTCACATGAATGCCATCTTTTTTTAACGTTAAAAGACTATTTAAATAATAAAAAAAAACCTTTTGAATTGCAGCAAAATACTGGATTTCATCTATTTTGGACTCTTGTATGATTTATGGAGAAAAAAATCATAGCTACATATGGCATAGAAATGAATATTATGATAAAACAGTAAGAAGTTATTTTATGAAAACATATATACACATACTCTGGCAGATGTCCAGTTTTCTAGAAGCAGCACATGTCTAGCCTGCTTAATACTAAAAGAATGACATTGATTTAAATTTAAACTCAAATTTCCTAAAACATTAAAAAGCACATTTGACTCAACGTGATCAAGAGCTCACTAGTTGCTGAGTTTTTATCTGCGTGTGTGTGTGCGCATGCATTACAGTTTACAGCAAGGGATATAAAATTTACAAATGGAAGACCTAAATACCTGGCATGTACACTTCAGTGCAGAGCACCTATGAGGAAGGAAAGAATTCTAAACTGAGAGGGAGGAATCAGGCATCATCTCAGAGACTAAGACGCTGTACCTCAGTCAAGCTGAGAAGCTGATTCTTGAGAAGCCAAATGGGGGCCCACGTTATAAGCATTGCTTTTACTTTTAGTAAGACAAATTATCCAGTGAGACACTCAGATGTAGCTCGAAGTATTTTATAGTTCGAATTTCTGATTCTCAGGTGCTTGGATTTGCACTGTGAATCTGCCTTTTGGTCCCTTCATGGGCCCGGGTCCCCCAGCCTCCCTTCATAAGAATGGATAGGCAGGGCCTCACTGCAGAGCCTGCATCCCCGGCATCACATGGAAAGCTGGAGCTTCACAGAGCTGGTGAAGGCAAGAGCCTCGTGTCAAGAAGTTCTGCTTAGGTTTCTTTTCCTGAGCTAAGATCTTTATAACCAAAAAATGAAGTAATGAGGAGACAGAGATGCCAAGCAGGAAAGGGAAGTGCTCTTCTTGGTGCAGTCAGATGTGCTGATTTCTGCTGCAGCTACAGAGACACCCTGCACGTTGTGTGGAATCTCGCTTTCCAGTGGCTCCAGCCTGTGCAGCCAGGGCAACTGCCCATTGTGCCTGCTATGGCCGCACACCAAGAGCTGCGAGGGGAGCACAGTCACAGAGTGTGGCCGACTGAACATCAAAGCAGAGGACCAGGAGATCCTGACCCCTAGTCACCATGGACACTGCTGCTCCTGAGGGTGGTAGTCAGGTCTAGTGCTGTGTGCCCTCATGGAGGGAAACCAGCACCAGGCAGGAGTGTAGATCAGAGAGGCAGGCTCCAAATGACATCCACAATTGCTTACAGCAATTGCTTACAGCAAGTGAAAATTGTTCATTTTTCCCCCACAGTCTATTTTGAAAAAGATCAAGTCAATGATGTTTGTAATATCTAAGATGTTTGCTTTGAATTATAATTTTATACAAACATGAAAGACAGTAGCACTGGAGTGACAAAATTCCTAGAACCCACCACTGAAGGGTCCCTTAGAAAGCCTTCACCCAGGGCCCACATTCTAAATGGAGAGGAAAAAAAAGCCTGTTCTCAATTTAAAAGCCTCCAGAAATGTAGCATTTAGTTGTCTTTTTGTTTTCATTCTTTTCTATATAGGTTCCCTGTCTGACACCCTTGAGTTTCCAGGTCCCTACTCATGTTAAAATGATATAGGTTATTTTCTCTCCTCCTTGGATTTTTAATATTCTCAAAATAAAGAAAATAAAAATGAGGACAGAAGGGTGACCAGTAGTCATATCCCTGGCATGGACACTATCACACTATCATATTGTGACGTCTCTTGTGTCTCAGAGAGCTGCTGCACATACATACTCGTACACACACACACACACACACACACACACACACCCGCCTGGGTGTCCATTTGTTACTCCATCCATCAGTTCATCATGAACGTGTTTCCGTGTCAGCAAATATAAATCCACATTGTTCTGTAGCTCACAGTGGTCTCACTGATGTGCTCCGTAATTCACTCTCCCAACCCATTCCTGACAGCTGGATTGGGTCTGCCCTGCGAACATTGGGGCTGTGTGTCTATTTGTGTACATTGGTTTTTTTTTTTTTTTTTTTTTTTACAATAATCTGATTATTTCCTTTGGAAAGACTGCTACATCAAAGGGCTTTTGATGAGTTTTTTCAGAAATTTTCAAAAAAACTTAGCTAATTTATATTCTCCTCATTCACATGGAACTGTCCCATCATCTACTATCTGCCAACCCTCGGTGCAGCTAATGTTTGCGTCTTTACGCCGTTGCAACATAGCAGGCCCAAAGTGGAATTCTGTTTTAATTTGCATGCGTAATCAACCTGAGCATTTTAATGAGCTTTTAACTGTAATTCACCACTACTGCATGATCTTTTTAAATGATTGTTCCCTTTTATTGATGCTCATTTTCTAACAGATTGATGATGTCTCTGATAAGCAAATATTAACTGCTGTACAACTTATGCACTACAAATACAGTTTCCATCTCATTAGTTTACTTTCAGGCTAGTTCATGGCTTTTTCTGGTTTTGTTATTATTTGTCAAGTATTAAAGAGCTAAATTTTTAATACATTTATGGCTTTTTGATTTTGTGTTTTGATCATCACTTCAAAATTAGGATCTAAAACGTAATTCGTGTTTTCTTCATGTTCTTGTACAGTTTTTCTTTTATCTCTTTTGCTCCCTCCCTTCCTTCTTTTCTTCTTGCCTTC